CCCCACCCGCTAATAACGAACGAAGTGCTAAGGGCACGGAGGCAGGTTATTGGCGAGGGAAGTTTATGCGTAATTAGATGAAATCATAACGACCTTGAAAATAAAAAATTCTTCTTCGACGTTCCAATGACATTTTTTAAGGTAATAATTGGAAATTACGTAATCCCTCGGACTCGATTAAATTATTGGCAATTTTATGAAAAATAATAGTTACGGATGTACCGTTATGTTGTTATTTCAAATTTGCGTTTTTTTTTTACGAACAATTTTTTTCCACACACACTTGCGATACTTCGGGCGACTTTTCAATGACGCGAATTTTTGCTTCGGCATTAAGTCGCGTCGACCTTTTAAAAAGCGTCGGCTTTATATAATTTGAAATTCAAATTCGCGAGACCTCCCACGCTTTGTGTTATAAATGAATCCCTATTATGTTAATGCTCTGCGCGTCACGCGAATGCTATGCCAACAATTCCGTCGTGACGTGTAAACAGGCCCGTAGGAAGATTGAGGCGTAACTTTAATCTTGAGCCTGGGTGTGCGTATGTCTATGGATGCACGATGTGGGTAATTGAGATTCTTTTGATGCTTCGAGCAATTGCTTCGCGAGAGGTTTGGTCGACGATATATAGATATGTTGAGCTATAATGTTGAGCTATAACTACGTGAATTATGATAACAGCCTATATCATTTTTCAAGAACCTATACTAACTTCGTGTCACGTCGATAAGGGTACTCGCGACGTTATCCGTTTGATCGATGTGTCGTCATAGCTGTTTTTAATATCTCTTTCCCATGTACGATCGATACTTACCAATCAGTAAATTACACGTTCGAAGGGTATCGATGTACGGGAAAAAAAATTTGTTTTTAATTTTTTCCATTTTTCCAAAATGTCAAAATACTGTCAGACAGTACTGTTGAGTTTTATTGCTTTTTTTTTTTTTTATTATTATTGTAAATTCTAGCAAAATTACATGTTTCACGTATCGCCTCACTAAGGTGCACTTTCGGCAGTAGATGTTTCCCTTGAAAAAAACTTCCACAAAGAGCCAGTTGCGATTCTTCGGACAGCTTGAAATTGCAATTGCGACTGCTCAATTCCACGAGAGCAATTTTAACTGGAGCATCTTCTCCGGCACGCGTCGAGCCACTCGATAGCTCAAGTATCGAACTATTGAACTATTGAGCACGATTGGCCCTCTTCCCCCGCGACCCCACGGAAGAAATGAATCTCTTTCAAAGTTCAAGGGTCGAGAGGTATTTTATAGGTTAAAAAATGATGCATATCCCACAGGACAATTTTATACGATACAAAATACGACCCCGATAAAATTCTTTGCTGCATGTAATTAAAATATTCCTTTTTATACCCAATTAAATAATTAACCCATGACAATATCTTCTATGTAAGATAATAATTAGTAGAATGACCAACGTAAAAGTGCCGCCTTAGAAATGATAAGCGTGTCGGGACGTATAATAAAAATTATTGATCCTTTATGGTTAATTCAGAAATAATCAATTATGCTTGGTATCACGTGGAATCCCGACTCGGCGTTATCGGAGTTCAATGCTCTAGGACTTTATGTGAAATTAAGACAAAAGTTTATTTTATAGCCCGTTCGCGGTAAAGTCGTAACGAAACTCCTCAACTAATAATATAACCTCAAATATGTATATATAGATATATATATACACTGCTGTAGGCAGCCGGTTAAGATTTGGACGAGTATCCAGCACCAGAAGGGGTTTACGTAGTCATTTCGTATTACAGACATCACCCGGTAGAATACTTGGCCGCAGTTTTGATTGCCTTGAATTCACGATGACGGACTACAACGGAGAGAAGGTTCACAGCATCTGACATCTGGCATCTCCTTCAGCTCGCGTCTTTCATTACGCATTCATTGGGCCTCCCTTGAGCCATTTCCCCGCTCGAGGATAATTCCCGGCTTCTCCTTCCAGCTTGGCGACTTTCGGATACCGCATCCAGCATCCAACAGGACCGTTTTAGGACAGCCACGTGGAAAGTTAAGTGGCCGTCTTAAATACACCAGGAGCGATTCAGATTCAACCCTCAATGCTTTGCGATGGAAAAGCACGACGGGATCAGAATTTCGGATGACCTTGTCGTTATCATTTATTCTTATCGGTAATTCGTTATCAAGGTCACGTCAGTCTGGTTACGAATTCTGACACGTCACATTGCATTATAATTTTATGCTTGGTTAGGACGTACATAGAGGTGTGTGTATACATATGTGTCTTTTATCTTATCAGCATAGTCGGGATGACGCTGTCGACCTAGAGATTTTGGTCCAAGGATGCTGCGCAGATTTTATCCCCCGGGATAAAAATGAATAAATCTCTCGGAACGTCCTAGGATCGTATCGCCTCTTGTACAGATGAACTTGGCAGTTCTTTCGTTTTTCTTTACGCATCTCAGACTTTGGCTACACTGGCAAATTTAAGGCTGCCGGGTATCTCACGGGGTTGAAAGGTTAGGAGGCTGGACGCGTGGGTGAGGCTCAGGGCGCAGGCGTTTGCAACTCCTGGCGGCAAGCGAACTCCTACGGCTCTTCTCTAGTATCGCGTCAACTGCCGCTGGGAATCCGTGTATCGTATCCCGGGATTTTCAGGCATACGTATTTTCGTGGTTGTATATATATATATATATATATTTTTTTTTAAATCGTGCAAAAAGTCACGCGCGATTAAATTAGCTGTGTCGTTCGTTTGGATTAATCTACGGTAGCGGAAATCTGTATAGGCTTAAAAGTCAATTTTGACTTTTTTTGTTTACAGTGACATAAAAACGTATAAATCCAATTGCTCGCTGGTACGCACACCTTTTATTTTTTAATTGATCCAACTATTTCGGGAAAATTCATGGAGTTTCTGTGTTAAATACAAATAAATTGTAAAAAGTGGATATTTCGAAATAGTGTTTCGGTAAACCTTCCCGGAGCAACGTTGCCAGATGACAATATCGATAATAATGACAGTGACCAAGGTGTAGATGTTCATAAAAATTTATATAGGGTGTACAATTAATACGTATCATTGATCTAATGATTTGCGCGGTGTCGACGTATATTAAAAATATAAATATTAATCACAGGGTATATTAATAATAGAATACACACGTGTAAATAAACACGGTTAACGAACACATTGAAAATTATGTAAAAATGAACTGTACGAGATCCACGTCCCTTACGATCGATTAATATGAAACGTGGAGTTGGGATTGAAAAATTTTTTTCCAAAAAATTCATCAACTCGAATCCATTCGCCTGGCAATAAACTACCCGGTGTTCCGTCCAATCGACACTCCGAGCAACCCTTAACGATATAATCGAAGTTTCTGTAATTTAGAAATCGATCCGAATCAAAGTGCCAACTGGAAGAAGAAGAAGCGGCCGATCGACAGCAGGGAGCCAATAAGGGTTGCTTGAGGGATGGATTGGCAAGGGGTGCGCCCAGTGTCCTCAAAGAAGACGTCCGGCTCCGCATCTGTGGTAGAACTGATATCTGGGGCCGAAGCATGAGGGAGGAGGCTGCCACCCCAGCGTAACGGTAAGCAATAGCGATATGCATGTCTCTATGTACACTGATAACAACCCCCCTCCGGGAGGGTTGGTCGATGCGGGACAAGGGAAGCCGGCGTACCATAAATTAGGGAATTAAAGGGCGTGCAGGCATGTGTGTTCCCAGGGTGCATCAACCTTCTCTGGGGTAAGGTCGAGCGTGCATGTTCCCATTAGCAAGGGGTGGTTCGCTCCCCGACGGCATTTCAGCCCTAATTACACCTTTTACCTTGACGAGTCAGGAGAGAAGGGTGGCGGCGAGTGTCCCTCTTATAAGACGTCAGAGCGGATACAGAAATAACTCGGACTCCTCGACAGAGCTTTACGTCAGTTTCACCCTTGATACGCGAATGCGAAACAGGATAGTAAAATTGATATTAATTTTTCATTAATTACAGGGTAAAAAAATATAATTTTACCGTGGGGCTGCGAACGAGTTGATATTCAATTTATTAATATGGGAATTGAAAGTTACGTTATATCGCATATACGTGCTTACACTGTACGCATGTATGAATTGAGTTCTTATCTCGATCAATTTTGTCGAGTGGCAATTATTCATTCGGTGTATATCTATATATTTAGAGACGATATATGTATACGGACTAATGCATCGGTTATTAATGGGAAATGTGGCAAGGTACAATTTACATGCTTAAGTAGATGCAGCCAGTGCATAGCCAGACAGCTTGGCGCCCGCGACTTCAAACTCCCGGCCTATTGCAGTTTACGACGTAATACTTTAAGCCGTGTGTGCATAGCGCGATAACGCCACGACGCTCGTATCGGCATCGTACGTGTGATTATTTCTTGGCATAGCATTACCGAGAAACCATCAACTTTTACTATACAATTTTCTAGCCTCTTCGCGTTACGTTTCCGTGGGACCGCTGGGTATTCCTGTGTGGCTAAAGTCACGGCAAGGAAATTAATCGGGCAAATTCATTCATCCCAGTGGCTCCGTGTTACGAATCCAGACTTCCGAGGCTGGTTCGGTCGGCGATACTCGAGGGCCGATCGATCCTGGTTCTCGATCCTTCTGGAATGTTACTGTAAGGGTATAAGGCATTACGTAACTATGCTCAGACACAATTAGGCTTTATAAGGTTAGATATGGCTATGGAGGAAACTTGGAAAATCATTGCCCGTAGAGGTTCACGTTGCTGGCTCAAACGTACGAGCAGCCACCGAGTACCAATAATTGGTAAATGCTTTATGGTATATATGAATTACTTTTGTGATATCTTGGGATAATGTTTGGGTGTATATGTATATATATATTTGTTGTATATAGCGTAGTATGATTTTACTACTATATCATATTGATTACAAGTTTCAAGTTTGCCTGTGGCGACTTCCCGCGATTTATTATGGGATCAACTGAGACGCTTGGGAAAATAATTGATTTAGGCTCAAGGCACTGATTGCCTTGACGCTAATCTACGATAATTTACGCAAGCTCGATCGTCCTTTACGATGATCTATATAGATTTATGTATCAGTATACCCATAAATATGTTTTATGGGTTTAATATGGATTTTGGATTTTTTAAAATTAAATTCTTGCTTATTAATTCTCATTAAGAGTAACATCGACGATTTATTATGACCGGAAGTAGTCGGGGTGACGAATATTTTTTTAATCCTTAATCTTAGGTTAGGTTCGTATAAATGAACTAAGCATGAGTTATTGTCATTGCGCGGTATAAGTTTCCGCGGAGATAATCCATATTTTTTTTTTTCTTTTTTTTTGATGAATGAGGTAAACCCGCGGCGTGGCAATTATTAAGAAGGATTCGTGCATTTAAATCGAGCAATTGAGAATTATTGGTACGACTGAATTAGCCCAAGTATTCGGGCGGGTGGGGGGGCTGATTAGTGGATAAAATTTTTAAATCGACCCTGTATATTTTATCACTACTTTTTTTTTTGGTTTTTAGGTAAATTCAACTGCTCGACATTTCTCGTCGTCACGTCGGGCACTAAATTTGCTGGTTGAAATATATGACCGCCAAGATGGATCAGTGTAGTTAAAAAAAAATGCCCTAGATCTTTTTATGGATTCTCAAAATGGCCCTGCCTCAAAATTCAAATAGCAGCCACCGTCTTCGAGCACCTGGCCAATTACGATTTTATCAAAGGTACAATTGAGGACTCGCGGGAGCCTGGGAATTACTCGGAAGCGCCAAAAGACCAAACGGAAGGAGTTATGCTAATCTAGGGGTCCATGTGGTAATCCTCCAAGTAAACGTTCTCCAAGATATGCACGGATTAATAGGTCTCTCGCTGGCTGCGTTTATTCTGACTGTGCGCAATTGTCACTGCAGCTGCAACTGCAACTGCACGCGGTCCCGTATAGTTTCTTATGCAAATATGCATTCTAAGTAACATATGCGTTTCTTGACGTGGCCCCCTAGGTGGCGCCACTTGTTTGACTCACTGCACCCAGCGAAATCCCTATAACGTGCTGAGGTTCAGATATTTTTTAGGGGTTGAAAAGGGGCGGCGGGGGGGGATGAAAATGTATTCTACCTGTACCAATAAGATTTAAATCCTTATTAGGTAATGTTGAAACGGTCGTAAATTTCTGCTGTTATCTAATTCACCCTCCCCTCCCCGCCACCCAACCCTCCTTCTAAGACGATTTAATAGACGATACTCCACTTGGTAATGCGCTACACGTGTCTTTGATTTCCTACTGTGAATTTCAGACGATACAATTGTGCATAATTCGAAAGCTCCTTTGGCGATTAGGCTGAGTACTTCGGGGGTTAATAAGGGTTCTAGTGGTTTAAGACTGATAAGTTAGTAATTGTATTGGTGGCTTATGGGGGTAGTGCCTTGGTTACGTGGCGTAAGGGCTGATGATGATTAATTAGTGAATTTTTATATTTTCTAATTAATTATGTATCGAGGCTACGGCGAAGCTGCACGTTTCTAAGTCGAAATCGTAGGTACCCGAAGAATTGTAGAGTGGCGCAGCTGCGCGTTATTCATTCGGAGTGTCGGTCGGCGGAGCGAGAGTGATAAAAAAATGTTAATTAAGGTCCAATTAAGGCGTTGCTATTATTATATTATTATTCGGCACGAAAGTGGGCTTGTCTGGAAAGAAGAAAAAATATGAACGTGGACACGCGAAAACGTTTTACTGAATTAAAGTACGAATATTAAAGTCGTCGGAGCGAGTGGATTTTTTTTTCACGAAAAAAAAAAAAGGATACTCGACTTTAAAATTCGTCGGACTGCGGTTAATCGGAAAACAAAATTTTCAAGATCAACAGTCTAATTAAAGTGGGAATCTACAATTCGACAAAGTAATTTTCAGAAGATACCCCCAACGTCACCTACCCCTTTCGCGGACAAGTAACTTTTCGGAAGGTCCATTCAGCGAATTAAAAGTAAATTTGAAGAGTACCACGAAACGAGGGAAAATCGCTTTTACCTCGTTTGAAAATAAAGGACAACGTATTAAATACATAATACGTATTTTAGGTCATGCTAGGTACGGTCTGACATGATAATGTATTAAATCCCCTGTATCATATATGTTTTGCCAAAATTATATTTATTCATGGTAAAAAAATGGGCAAGCTATCGATATAATTGGTAACTGTATATTGGTAACCGATATAATTGATATAACTGTAAATGACGTGAAAATTGTATTTCCCGGTAAAGCGTTCACAAGTGAAAAGCACTGTAGGTGCCGGGATGGCCACCCTCGGTTGGCTGATGAAAAATTTTGGAAAATCGTCCGATCGTAAGGAATATTATTTATAGCCCTACGGTGTATACCTATGTATAGCACGTGTATAGGTATACGCGTAATGTACAAGCAACGCAGAGTCTATACGTAGCTTGGATACATCAGACTGAAACACAAGGAACAAGCCAGTGACGTAACGTGCAGTCAGCACGCAAGAGCCACTTATTTAGGACTGGTCGTTTCTCTTCCACTTAGCGACTATCGTGCGGAGGATTTCGGTTCGTGCAAAGCCAGAAAAAAGTAAACCTAGCGAAGCCAATACGTTTTCGGGTTGTGCGAAATCGCGAGAGGGTCCTTGCGAATCGGCCGAGTTAATGGCGAGCGATAAATTAACGTTGTCGATTGGTTGCGATCGGCCATATTTTTTTTTAGCAGCGATTTTAAATCGTAACTTGACTTTAATAGTGTTTTGGATTTTTTTTTTGGCATTGATTTAACGTCGTAATTGAGGATCGGTTTGATTTAACGATTTTGAAATTTATTCCCATACCTGATAATTCATCTGGACCGAATATCTTAGTAAGCCTCTTGGTATAGATGATCCTCTATAGCATTTGAATAACGGATGCGAATAGAGTACAGAGCTTAACTTGTCGAGAGGTCAGGGAGGTCAGGTAGGATCCGTTGCAGCTGCAGACAACTTCTGCCAACCTGGAGAACGTGGGGTCAGGTCCTGACAGTCAAGGTTAATGCAGACAGTGGACAGTTAAGGGAAACTTTAGTGCTTAGATATATATATAAAATCTGGTATTCGAGAATGGTGACATCCGGTTCTGTTATCCAAAAGATCTAGAATTTTCCGAAGATATAAGAATTTGCTACAAGCTATTCTTCTCGTTAAGGGATCCTTGCGGTTGAACGAGCATCCCGACACTCCGACGGTTAGTTTCGAGTATCCTGTGACCCTTGACCTGGATCGTTTGAAAATTCTCCTCCTGACTAGGTAGACCCTGTAGAAGGTGGAAGGTGCGTGCGGAGCATTTTCGGGGTCGGCAGCTGACTAATCGTTTGTTGATTGATCGTCTCCTTTTCCGCACAGCATCACCATCTCTATCGCCATCATCAACGGGTCCATAGCTATAACCAGTAACGGTACCCCCATCACCATCGCCATCACCATCACCATCACCACCACCATCAGCATCAGATTCAGGAGCAGCGCCAGCATCGGCTCCAGCCTGAACGGCCACTACCATAGCTACGGCCCTGATCCACTCACCGCATCATAAATCATCGCACAATATGCCGCCACCACAAAACAGCCTTAAATACCTGGACAGCCAAGCTGACGAGGAAGGGCGCGGGTGTGCGCGATGAGGTTACGTGGGTTCGCCCCTGAGGTAGAGGATATATCCAAGGGATAGAAAGCGCCTACCCAGACCGAGCAAGACCAGACGGCGGCCCACTTATGCCAGGGTCAACTCTAATGGATCCGTTTCCACGCCTCGTACCCGTATCACTAACCAGTGACAGGGTAGCTCAATTATGCAAACAAAGTATACCTAGTTGCAGGGGCTAGAGGGGGTTGGCATCCCTTCTCCGCGATCCCCTCTCGCCCCTTGCCCAGGGCTGGCCCAAGAGATTAATTCCATCCCACGGAATTTTACGTTCGCCTTCGGTACCATCGTATCCCCTTCCTGCGATCGGACGTTCCCGGAATTTTCGGCTGATCACGAGGTTAAAAGGGGGTAGCGACATTCTGTGACCTTTGACATCGGCTAAATTCATTGTGAGGTATAAGCTGTCGTATCATTTAGTTTTCTTAATTTACAGTGAAAAATTAATTTCTAAGGTAGTCAGAGGTATGTTTTTTTTTTTTAAGGGTAGAAAAATCTTTAATTCCATCGATCTAGAACTGCTCGAGTGGATCTGATTCTCTGTAACCAAGTGATGTAGCTTCGGGATATATTTCTCGTTGCCATAGCAACGATACAGGGCGTTTATGGGTTTCTATAGTGTATTAGCTTAGCTGGCAAAGCTGGTCGAGAAGGTTGCAGTAAAAATAAAAGGGCATTGCAACGTATGTCCATAAAAGATGCTGGGCGTGACCGCAGGGTTCGTCGAGGATGTTCAAGCAAGAGTTACCGTTAACGGAGGATAGGTGATATCTACACGTATCTCGTCACGAGATCTTCCCATAAATCATGTGACAGCGCGACCAGAGAGGTGTCGTCCACTTTCGAGGGAAACGATTTTTAAATTTCCCGCCAAAGATAAATTCTACCTGGCTACTGACTTATGGCCCACGTGTACCATTTTTCTTTAGCATTGTATGTATGTACTCGGGAGAGTTCTACGGGATGGGCCAGTGGTTTTTACGTGTTAATTATTTGATCCAACTGATTAATTATATGCACGCGTCATAGGTCGACATTCTTGGGAAACTCGTGAAATTACTTGGCACGTGGTCCTTGAATCTGTTGCAAAACTATTTCAGCTTGGTAATATATTTATCGGGGGGTAGGAACCTGGAGGTATAAAAGGTAGGCTCTCGCAATATCCAGCCTGGAGATAAGATCCGTCCTTTTGAAAGCTTTATAACGCTACTTTATTCGAAAGATTTATCGTTTGGAAAAAAAGAAAAAAGTTCGCGTTAAAATGCCAACGGGGATAGAAGTGTCCTTTGTAAATATTATTAATAAATATATTTATCATTTTAAGAAAAAATATTTTTTTAGAATTAACGAATAACTTGAACCAAGTTTTTTTATTATGAATTCATTGCACGAAATACGGGCTGGATGTATACTCGATTTAGTCGAAAGGGACCACTCGAGGAAAAGGATAAGAGTATAAGAATCTCGATCAATCAAAATTATTAGTTATCGAATTTGACTATTGCCAATTGATTGCTTTAAAGTCAGTCTGTCTTGGGACACCGATCGGGGTGCCTCGAGCTGCCTCGCGCTCCCGGATTCTTTGTTGATAGTTTTTCTGTCTGTGTTTACTATAGGTATAAAAAGTTGTCGCGTTGCTCTCGCAATGTCCAGAAAATCCTATAGATTTTCTCCGGGTGTTTCGGTGCTCCAGTGCCCATCCGAGTGTCCCCTGGATGCAATTCTCGGCCTTCGCGGATTAGCTGAACCAGCTCCGGTGAGGATTCCTAATTTATTAATTGGTGGAGGGATTTCGATTTTATAGCTCCGGCTCGGTCTGCTAAGTTCTCGATCAATTGCTTTCGGTTTCTGGCACTACTTGCCTGACGCTTACTTCGACCCTCTCTACCTCAGCCTAGCAGCCCCAACCTTTTATTCTTTATTCCTCAAGTGGCTTAGGGCTCACCCTAAAGGCAATGTCAGAAATGACATGGACAATTTTTGGAATACTTAGAATATGCAAATTCCCAGCACATTTCAGATACGAATTTAGCACCTTCTTCGTTTTACGAGGATGTTGCCAGAATACAAAATATTTCTACCCGTCGTGGATACATTTTATGAAAGGTTGTTGGATCACGGCACAGCTGTACTTTAGTGAGTGCTTTGGCAAAAGTTTCGTGTAGCAGAATTCACGTGGTCGGGATACGAGACGCAGCGGGATTAAATTTTACGGGGAAATATTAATTACAGGAATTCATTCGTAGCATTAAGGCTGTATTATACGTAGTTCATTAATATCGTCGATGTTACGAAGAATTTTCAAAACTGCCCAAGACAAAAAAAATGGCTCATTAATTCCATATGCATATTCGAAAGAAAATTTATTAAAATTCGACAATCAAATGGTAAGAAAAATATAATTGTTACAGAAGAAACGTGGAAACGCTACAGTGGCGCCACGTAGGACCCTCCACTTGGAGAATTTGCCTAACGATCTCTCGCGAAAATCAAAACTCAAAGACGTCATGAGTGGACAGACACATTATACATTGGTGAACGATTATATGTTACCCGACAAAACCATGGCTACCAACTCACCAACCGCACCACTGGTCATAATAAATCAGACGTTTTTGCAGCTTCCCGTATTTGGCGTCGAGCTCAAACCACGAATCCTCACTAACACCGCCCACTTGGCAAAAGGCCATTCTGACTAGGCTATACGTAACAGTAATGACGAAATAGCTCATGTTATTATTATTAGCCATCTTTCACAGAGATAACCGTACTTCCCACCATGTACACTCAATGGCGTATAATATATTTGCAGGATTTAAACTCGAATCGCTGTCCATTCCTTAAGGTTAAGCATCAAACTTTCGCCAAGCTTTGGTTGGAAAACCACTCGGGCTGTAACCATTAAGATATCCTTAGGGTCGATTCACACGTAACGAGGCGCATTCGTTGCACTTTGTTTTTTCTCAGCAGCAGTATTATTTCTCGGCTCTTGAATATACTGATAACAATGAGCATCTCTCTCGTGGATGATTTTGAAAAAATATTTACTCTTGAAAAAAAAAAATTGGAACGAACGTAATTACACGCTTGTTGTAGATACACATTTTTTTCTCGTAAAAATGGAGTTATATATATTTTGTAACGTTGCGAATTCTCAAAATAGCCATTGGACACTTTTAATTAAATTTAAAAAAAATTGAATATATATTCATATCTGCAGATTTATAGATCGACGTCGCTCTATTAGATATCAGTAATTAATCAAGGATCGTAACGAGTTTGAGTACAGAGTCAAAAAATAAAGTGATGCCGATCTTCACCCTTGTCTCTCTCGATTAATTGTTTCCATCCCGTCAACCCCTGAGAGAATAATCCACTTAGCCGTTTCCACTTGGGCGAACGTCGAGGGCATAAGGCGATCGTGCTTATAAAAATGGCGCCTCGGGTAGGCAGGAATTAATTGGATTTTCTTGAAATCCCATTAACGTCATTGACCTTAGCTATTGTCCTTAAGCCAACGAAGTTGGTATCTATGACAATTTTCATCTGACGACCTAAGGATCGAAAGATAAAAAAAAATTTTTTCTTATTAATATTTGTATCAATTAAATGAATCCCTGCACCATTGATACTGTAACTGCAGTTATTATCAAGAACCCGTAGCCATGTATATTTTCCTATAATCTTGTTTCAATCGCTCAACAATAAAATACAATTTATTGGGTAATCCTCGAGACCATTAAACGCGTCCACGCATAATTGTCCAGAAACTCCAGTCTGGCTTATCGTTCATGGATTAACAGGGGATCGAATTCGCACCTGGAAAAGTCCGATGCACGCGAGGGCTGCAGGTAGCCGAATTACAAATTGCATTGAGAGACAAAGAGAGACAGGGCTATAACATTACTATATATATATATATATATATATATATATATATATATATATATATATATAACTGGGTTTTGCATAGTTCACAGATTCAATCTTTGCAAAGTGTCCGGCAAGATATTGGTAACACGTGGAGGGTGCAAGGAACCCTTGACGTTTGGTCGGCTAACAGCCTGTTTACATGCAACTGACATCAATAACCAAGCCCCCATATACGTAGCGTGTTATACCGCGACGGGAACATTCTACTACGTGAACATGGACAAAAAAGCCTTCTATAATGACCAAGACGATAATTGCCTTTTGCATAGAATGCCTTATGATCCATTAAACAGAAGGGATGTCGACGGCAATGCAGATCTTTCGTATAAAGGGGAAGTTAGATATTTTTGACTGATGTTTTCCGGGCCGGGATAAAATTGGGAAAAATTTATGATAAAATTTGAGCTTTTACAGGGGGAGGATATAGGGGGTGATTCCGAATCAACGGCGAAGCTTAAGCGGCTGAAGGTTGGTCGTCTCTTTTTTTTCTTTGAACGAAATAAGGGTGTGACGCGAGAGAGAAGAGGGGATGGAAAAAAAAAATTGAAACGTAAAAATTTTGTAATACGAAATAAGGGTGTTTATTGATTTTTTTTTAAATTATTTTTTTTACAAACAATTCGATTTCCTTCTGGCTCCAGGGACTTTCTCTCGGGTTGACGTACGCATTATTTTCGTAATTGGTTCGATTATCGCGCGGCAAATTATTTGTTTTGCCTTGAGCTTTCAGTAATTTCGTTTCTCGCTGTTTACCAGAGAGGTTTTCGATATTCGTGCGAATGTATATAGAGATTATGAGGCTGAGAGCTTTATTCAAAGAAGCTGTGCTTTAAGCTCCGGAGAGCGGATCAAGAGTCGAACCGGTTGGCTGTCGTGTAGCTGCGCTTATATGCGCCTTAGCGAGGCTGTCATTAAGGCTGTGCTGTGTGAAGCGCATGCGGAATTTACGTATCTTGTGCGTTTGTTAGGTAATAATTATTTGAAAAAAACATTTGCCAAAGTTAATATTTCGTATCGTAATGGAATTGCGAGTTAAGTCAATTTAAAGAAAAAATGTGTAAAGTGGCAGTATTGATCCTTAATAATATTTTTATTATATTTTTAAGTAAAATTCGATCGACGACACTAACGACCAATCGGCATCTCGGAAAAAGCTCTGCCAGCATTTCGAGACGCTTTCGATACACGAGACGTTCGCGACGAACGCGGATCTTTTTGTAAAGGGAAAATAATGTTAATATCAAAGGATGTTTCGCGTTTCGTCGTTTCTTTTCAGTAGGCACTAAATGAAGGAATGACAAAAAGAATATTCTGCCTGAAGAAAGAAATTCGCCCCTCCGCCTCCTTTTCATTAAATACGACGTCGACATGTCTTTCGGAGGATCCGTGAGCTTTACGGATGCGCGGAAGCTCAGCCGACATTAAGCCAGAAACCGTCGCGTCTTTATTGTTGTCTGCAAAGTG